ACTCATAGACCCCAACTCACTAAAACGCAAACGAGCAATATTTCTGATCATGAAGTACTAAGGCAAAAATATACGCTTCTTATGTACCATAAGTATCCACCCGCTCAAATTATTTTGTTAGATAAGCATGAAAAATGTACCCATGTTTTCAATTGTGAAAAGGTCTGTAGACATGGTGAAATTCAAATCCACCATTGTTTTTGTACCAGGTGCGTATTACCGCTTGATTTAATCTCACAGATATATTTGCCAAAACAACATGATTTTAACAACTGGTTATTATGCACATCTTTTCTCCTGCTGATTCGAATAGAATCTAGGAGAAAACTACTAGGACAAGCCTGTTTCATACTAATTGCTGGATTTCATCTGGTTCCGTAAACTCGGGGGTGATCAAGATGTGAAAAGATAAACGTTTTTTGCATGGCTTTCTACGTCATCTGGTTGAGTGCACTTTTTTCAGTGAAGCCCATGCCTCGTTTTTAATTCCATCGGGCTTGCTGATATCTTCACAGGTCAAATCATGTAACAACACTGTTAACCACGCGTGACAAATTCACTTTTGCTGGAAAAACTTGCAGTCTCCCAAACGATATGGTAAGCATTGCATGGAGCCAGTGCTTCGACACGTGACGGAGTCATATCTGCAAATCTGATGCAAATTCGAATCTGTTTGACCTTGTCGACTATGGCTTGATACTACTTAAACAAACTAATATGCATTTCTCGTTTGGATTTCCTCGATTATGTAAACTCTCTTGGGTCTCTTGACCGAAGGGTACTTATTTAACATCTTTTTGAGTTTAATCTGATGCTGGAATCCTGAATGTTCTAATCGACTACTTCTGCCGTAGAACCCAGCTCACTTTATTTATTGGCATACAGTCGTCTTCTGTTAACATTGATGCTGGTTGATGGCGTTTTTCGGGGTGCAATTTAGTTCCCTTTCTTTTTTCTATGCACATTTAGAATATTCCCATTCCCAGTAACTTAATCACCGTCAAGTATGGTGATGATATTGTAATTGGTTGCCCTTCGCTTTAGTTCAATTTTAGGCCTCTCCAGGACAGCCTTGATGAACTTCACGGTTGATCTGTGCCCCGATCCCTTGTACGTAACATCAACAAGTACATTGACTTTCCATTTTCCTTAAAACGGCCCCCGTTATCTCTCAGTGGTATGCGCTCTCCCGTTTTTTTATAGTTAATAACCAGAGCATCCCTGAATCTGTTTCTGTTAAACACCTTGGTGTCACCTTGAAACATAGCCTGTTCTGGTGTGCAGCTGTCATCAGCTTTTTTAAAAAATGTTGAAATTTATACTTTAATGCATACAGGCTTATGAAACTGGCCGTTCCACATAATCTAAAATTCGCGACCGCCTGCATCTTTCCACACTGATTATACTGTTCCTTAACTTCTATCCCTGGTCTGAGAGAAAAAGATTTCATTTTATTTTCTAGATCCCTCTAACTTTTGTCGAGTTACAATGGAGTTATTGGAGTTGTTTTAGTTTATTTCTTTATTTCCACGTACTTTGACGCTTGCCATACCTTTATTACCGGCATAAAATTTGATGAAGGGCACTGTCTGTTTCTTGAAAGTCGTGTCGAATCCCCGAACTTACCCCACATATCAACTCCTTCCTTGACATACTTCCACACTTAGAAACAGTGTAGTCCATATTTTGTTTGGCTATCGGTTTATCATAATAGGATGGTCATACAGCACAAAGAAGGACTCACGCTACTATTGTGTTCTCATTTATTTTCTATTATTTCTTCATAATCTCAATTTGTTCTTCATATTCACTGTACAAGTTCGTAAATTGCTGAAAGTTCACCATTTGACTGGGTGACGCTGAGTTTTGTTTATTCATTATTTTCTACCATGAAGTAGTCTATATGACCAACGAAAATTGCGAACATCTTTGAAATCTTACCATCACATGGCATCAGTGTTGGAAGCAGATCTCGCACATGACGACCCTGAACCTCCAGAGGTTCGGCGCACCGAGCCCATTGTGTCCCTCCGGCCTCTTTCTCCACAAGGAATGTCGGGAGCCAGGCCATGCGACAGTCACAAATCAAAGGATTGTGCACCAGATATCTTAAAAGGTGAATCGAGAAGGCAATCATTCGACTCGTGGACAAAACGCAGTCCACAGGATAAATGATAAGCATTTTTTTAGGTGAGAATTACAATCAATAAAAGCAATTAAATTAGTGAGTATCTTTAATATCAATCCAAATGAACGTATGCATACTTACTGGAATTGAATAAAATATGAAACGAATAAAACCATTATCATTAGCATATATCTTTGGTGTGCTTTTCGAATTGTTTTTAACGAGGGAAACCAAAATGACTAGGTATGGTTTAATCCAGTTGATAAAATCGACTTTTTTCAAATATACAAACTTGAGAGATGTCCGTTGGTGACGGAATGTCACGTTCCAGGTCACCTACTGTGCTGATTTATCAAGTTGTTCAGCAGGTATCGGAGGAGTAGATGGCTCGGGTCCGATGGGCACGGACTGTCTCCTATCTTAGGCACGTTTTGCGTACTCGCTTAGTCAACCGTGTGTTCCGATGGCCCTGTTATGGTAACCGAAAAGGTCATACTTGTTTCCATAGTGGTAAACTCAGGATTCCGTCCCACTGAGTGACCGCATTCGGTTCTAAATCTATCAGTATAGTCTCTGCAAGATGTAAAAGGCTTAACCATAAAATAAATGGCTTACCGAAATCAAGGTATCCAGACTCTTGCTTGATAAAAGCAATGATCGAAACCGGGCGATTGCAAAGAGCTGCACTTGAACGAATACCTGGTCTACTCTGGGTATTTATCGTAATCGCATCATTCCAATAGCAACAATTCCTGGACTGAACGGTTCTGATTGGATCAGTGGATCTAACAGCGTAGAATAGACGAACATCAAGCAGTTGAATTCATTGCGTAAGTCTTCCGTTCCGTTTTGGTCGGATAGGAAACACCAAACATTCGCTTTTTCACTTTTTGACAGTCATTTTTTCACGCAACTATTCATTCACAAACTTAAGGAAGCATAAAATATTGCAGGAATTTATTTTTCAACAACAAAAGACAAGGGGAAAATCGCATGGGGAACACAAACGTACAGGTACTTTAGCCGACGCAAATCGGTGAAACTTCCTTTAGGGAACGTTTGTATCCGGTTCTCGGAAAGGTGGCTGCAACAGACCAACGAAAAGAACCATAAAAATGACTGCGGACAGTTAAATGTACCCACTTGGTGATGATGATGTGGATGATGATTAAAAAGGCATATTTCCAAATCTGATAATTCCCAGGAGCCTGAGTAAATCGCAATTCGCCGAGTGAACAGACATTTATTGCTTTTATGAGTAGCCGTACACGTTTGCCTCCATCGCTCCACTCGCTCACGAATTTTCCCCGACTTCACACAATTCCCAATTGGATCGGAATGCCTGCCTCTTCACAATGCGATTCTAATCAGATCAAGGGCTTTGAGAATCCGGTTGCTTGATGATGCACCATTGAATCTCAGTTCATACCCTCTCCCTCACCCCCATCCCATTAGGTGAATGTGGACCCCCATCACACACACACACACACACACCGGTTCCAGATCCCCCCTCCCTGATCGCATCCGCTATTTCTATTCCACTCCTCGTCGAGGAGATGGGAAAAATAATCGTTTCAAGTAGTGTTCTCTAATTTTTCAATGTACTTTGGAGTGGAGGGGGAGGAGGCATGATGAGTACGGGATGGTGATTTAATTTAACAGGTTTTAAAGGTTCGAGTGATAGGGTAGCTTACAGTTCACTCGACATACTCATCTCTATACAAATGTAAAATGTTTGCAGTTTTAAAATATTTCTATCAGGTCAATGAAAGTGGTAGGAATGATGAATGAAATGGGGTTAAGAAGCAAAACGGGTCTGTTAAGTGAGTGAGTGTGTGTGTGTGTGTGCGTGCGTATTGAAGATGGGATGAGGAATCCCGTGTTGAAATCAGTCTGTCAACACACTGTCGCACATTCAGTGGTCCATTATTAAACAGTGGTGGCAAATTAAGAAAAGTGTGGCCGGAACCTCGTGGTTACCGCAGTGCACTCCATTGTTGGTGTTATTTCCGATCGGATTGTGCTCGCATCGGTTCCTCTTTCATTCTCGGCACAGAACAAAATTGGGTTTAATCGAAAGGAACGGTGCGTCACAGAGCGCCGACTGCAAACGTCGCATCAAACAAACTGCGTAGACAATTTCGCGGAATTCGGCAACAATGCATCGAACCTGGGTCCCGTTTATGAAGTAATGCTTGGTGTTATGAATACAAACTCAGTAAACCGTTGCATATGTCTCCGTTTTGATCAAACCTAGGAGATTGTTAATTATTGGTTGTCTTAGCGAATCTAGGTCTGTGGATGATTCGTTTCCTCCCAAGTTGAAAGATGGCTTGTGCGTGACACTGTGCGATAACCAAGTCACCATTTGATGGCTCTCCACTAGGACGGAGAGTGGGCATTGTGAAGGCAGATCAGGTAATCAGACGCCACAACTGCCCCCTTTCATGACTATTCAGTTAGCTCTACAGACATGAAAGTGTACTAAATACCATTGTGTTGCATGTTACATAAGACTCTTTTCTATTACAGCTCATGTACTCGATGCAGCAGTTGATTACAGGATACGGTTCTGACTTCCAGTCTTCTCCGTTCCGCACCCGTTTGCTTGCTTCGTAAAAAGTTACAACTTGCTTTGCCAATTTTTCTCCAGTCGAAAAATTAAACATTTTGAGCTGAAATCTGCACTCTCAGTTGAGGGCTAAATGTCCTTAATGTCATGCAAATCGGAAATTCTCGACGAGGATGAGAACTGGTCTCCAGTGGTTGCTTTTGTTTTCGTTTTTGGTGTGTCACTAATCGAATCGTGAACAGTTGGATAGGAAAACAAAATTCTAACTCCCTTCCTCTTAACAGCACGACTACATTCGTGAGGAGTACTGTTGTTTTAACCTATAAGGATGTGTATATATAACACATTGAAAGACTGCTTTCACTTCGCAATTGTGATTAACTCGCATTCCACTGTTGTTAGTTTTCTATCCTTCAGTGTACCTTGCTATCGTCAGTAGAAAGAAAACGTAAAAACTTGGTTATAAGGTTATTCCCTAGGTTAGCGCCATGTCGTTTGATCTGGCTCATGTAAAGCGCTAGTTCTTCGTTCAATAGATACACGGGGGATAGGGTATGTTGAGAAAGTTAGAATCTGTGAGTGGGAAAATCGCGAAATGCTAAAATAGGGTGTAAAGTTTGATTAACAGTTATAGCACCATAACTTCATCCGTGGAAAATGGTAAGCAATGAATGAGAAAAACTTACAGAATTTGCAAGCTTTCTAGTCCTTCAAATGATCCTTTCTGAAGACAGGAGATTTTGTTCCGGTGCAGATATCTGTAACATCGATGACATGGAGTGGATATTTGTGGATCAGAATTGAAAAAAGTTATGTACACAACAATAGTCCATAACTTCATTTCTTGCGTTTATTTGTAAAGCTCAGTTGTTTCTCAGTTTTTTTATAATTTTTTGATGATTTCATTGTAGGCTGATTACAGTATGTGATATTTTCAATGCCCTACTTAGGACGTTTAGTACATTTGTCATTTGAAAATTCTTTCTTGACAATACGATACCTGAACAGTTGTAAATGCCCTCAAAAATCCCAGCCTTTTTGTGGATGAGAGAAGTCTCATTATTTCCCCCTGAAATGTTATCATTCACTATCATTTCTTTGTAAGGGCTTTTGACAAAAAGTGAGAAAGTGGAAAGCTAATAGTTAGGTGTATGGCCCGGATTATAAGCCAAATGTAGGGGTAACGCAAATACCTGGCCTCGAATGTCGTTTTAAATGCCTATAAACTAACTCCATGATATTTTGGTGGTGAAGGTGGCTGATTCAGCTGAGTAGCAGGGAATATCAGTCACTCTGGGCGTCTCGAGGGCATGCTATTCGACTCATTGGAAAACCGTTCTTCCCCGTCGTCCAATGTTTTTTTTACCTCGCCTCGCTGTCTTATGGGTCAGGGTTTGGTTACTCGAAAGCTCTGGTTATGAATCCCCAAGAAAATCATCTGCATTTTTGGAAAGCTAAACTTACAAATATCCTACTCTAAAAGCATTTCGGGGGTGAGTACACGTATTCTTAAGTGAGTCGGGGACAATACCTGCCGCAATAGAGGCCTTTTACGCCGCAATACCTCCTCAATTCCTGCAATTATGATTTTAAACCTGACTGCATTGCATCCAGCAGCAAGCCATCTTTCATTGAAAATATCTTTATTTCATACTGTCTCATGCACTTAATATTTCAATCGTCATTCTGCTATTTTATCCTAATGGGCGGCCAAAAGAGAGCAACCAAAACCGGCACATGAAAGTCCTTGGTAAATAGTTGTAAAACTGAACTGAGACATATCATACTGTGTTCAACATAGCTAAACCCCGCATAAAATTGGAATATAATATAAGGGAACAAACATCATTAATAAGTCATCTTAGGAAGCGCATCAAACCCGACCTTAACGCTGAACAATTGTTACGAAATAAAGCGAATCAAACTCAATTAAATTGAACGAAAGAATCAAATGCCAGAATTGGTGGAGTTTCAGACAGGCAGTAATTTTAGTCCATCTCAGACGTCTAACTTTCCAACCCTGATATTCTCAACCAACCACACAATTATTAAGGTTCTTTCCTTCCACACTCTTAAAACATTTATCGTATAACTATTTATTTGATTACATAAAGCAATAAACTAATATTGTTGTCCATGACGGTCAATAGGATTCCGGAATGAAATGCAGGTATGGTTCTCCTTCTCCCTATTTGGTTTCAATGAACTTTGTGATTCACTGCATGGTAAAAGTCTGATCAATCTATGGACGAAAGCAATACCACTTATCGAATCGGATTTAACCATATCCGGCATTAGGAACTACGACTGTGTTCGAAAGAGCGCAGCATTTTGCCTAGGTATGTAGAAACTAGTGCTGATTCGAGTGAAA